GATTCTTGTCCAAAGGGCAGGCATCTGCTGGATATGGTGAGGCAAGCCTGTAATTCTAGCCCTTGGAAGGCTGAGGCAGGAGAATTACTGCAAGTTCGAGGCCAGTCCAAACTACATGATAAATCCCTGTCTCAAAATAAAAATATAAATAAGGGAGGTGAACAAGTATGCGGGAGTTGGGTGACCCTATCTTGGTCACCTCAAGCTGCCTCTCTGGGGAGCTAGAGCCTGAGCAAGGATATGCATGCTGCCCCAGGGTTTGAGGAAAACACGACAGGGAGGGAGGCACCACAGAGAGAAGGAATTGAGGTAGAGCAGCCGGGGAGAGAAACCATTTCTTTGGAGTACGTGTCCTCTCATCACGAGACAGCCGTCCTCTAGGACAGTGGTTCTCAACCTTCCTTATGCTGCGACCCTTTAATACAGTTCCTTATGTTGTAGAGAGCACCAACCACATAATTATTTTGCTGCTACATCATAAGTGTAATTTTGTTACTGTTATGAATTGTAATGCGAACGTCTGATAGGTGATCTCTGGGGGTCAGGACCCACAGGTTGAGAACTGCAGGGAGCTCATGGCTTGGACCCCAGGACCTCCTGTCTCTCCCTGTGACCCATGACCAACCACGAGTGTTTCTGAGCTCCATGTTCCCTATCTGAAACGACAGTATCCCTCGCTCTTTGAGGTCTCAAGGCCCGTGGGACATGGGCAGGCTGCGGGCCAGCCACTGTCATGATGATTAGCAGGGGATGGCGACAGACCATGACAGACACAGAGGACAGCTCGGGGCCATCTTGGACGTTTGATTCTGAGGACGATCGGCATGGCTGAGAGGGTGGGCAGGCGGGTGGGCCGAGTGGGGTGGCCCTTCACAGTCCCTGCAGCTTTTTCTGTGGCTGCTTCGGCTGCTAGGACCACTTCCTGCAGCTTCTGTCTCTACGTGAAGTGTGTGGCCTTGTGAAGACTTGACACACAAGACGGAAAGACTGAGGTAGTGGCCAGGAGTGGGGATGGGGGCGTCTTCTAAGAACCCAGCCGATGATATGGCCACAAGGGCTGTTTGAGAGGAAATGCTGTCTGTGTAGACATCCAGGCTACCAGGCCCCAGAGAAAGACATGAGAAGGGACAGAGAGACTTGCTTACTCTGGTGCCCAACTCAGACCCAGCCTCCAGTCCCAGTTGGGAGGTGGTCCTCACCCCCCATCCCACATCCCATCATGCTCTGATGCTATTTGTTTTCCTACTTGTTGGTCTTGCTTTTTTTTTTTTTTTTTTTTTTTTTGTGAGATAGGGTCTTCCAGGCTGGCCTCAAACTCGTGGTGATCCTCCTGCCTCAGCCACCCTAGTACATGTAGCATCCATCCAGTGTCATCTGGTGTGTGTTCCATTCCTCCAAACCCTGAATTGGGGGGGGGGGGCTGCCCCATGGTGCTCTGCATGGAGCAGAACACCGGGGTGATTTTCTGGTTGGGCTTCCTCCCGTCAAGGTGCTCTGAGCATGCGTGTGGGTACACGAGCAGCCCTCCCGAGTAGGAGGCAGGGGTCAGAACTGAAACAGCTGGTACTGGGATGAACATGGCCGAGCCAGTGAACTTTTGGTAAAAAGCAAGCTCTTGTGAGCTGGGTGTGTGGAACATGCCTGTAACCCCAGCCCTTAGGAGGCTGAGGCAGGAGACTTAATCCAGGCCTGCCTGGGCTACATAGTGAGACCCTGTCTCACCAACGATAAACTCTCATTTTCTGTGGTTTTGCCTGAGCAGGGGCTTTTGGCAGCAGCGAAGCCCCTGACTGGTATGTGTGGTGGTAAGAGGGGAACCGGATGCTGACAGGGAAGACCCTGTGGGTAGGAGAGGGTCCACAAGTCAAGATTAGAGGGAACTAAATCAGTAGTCAGGATCCAAGGAAGCTGTGCAACCCTGGACAGTTGGCTTCGCCTCTCCAAGCCTCAGTTTATTTGGCAATAAGATGGGTGAATATTGATAACCACACTTTAAGCTTGTCATAGAGGGTGAACAAAGTGTTGGATTAAAAATGGTCTTGGGCTGGGGAGATGGCTCAGTGGGTATCAGACCCTATAAAAGCAGGTGTAGTGGTCCACATTTGTAACCGTAGCACTGTTGTGGGGAGGTGGAGACGGGAGGATCCTCAGAGCTCGCTGGCCAGCCTGTCTAGCTGAATTAGTGAGCCTCAAGTTCAGTGAGAGACCCTGCCTCAAAAAATAACGTGGAGCATGACTGAGGAGGATACCTGACATTGACCTCTGGCTTCCAGGTGTGCAAGTACACACACACACACACACACACACACACACACACACACACATACATACACATACACACACATAACACACATATATACACACACATACACATACAAACACACACATACACACACACACACATACAAAATGGTCCCTGTGGGAGGCCAGCTCCCACCTTTTCAAGGGTTCCTATGAGGAAGAGAGAGGGATAAAAAATATTAGATAGAAAGAGAGACCTAGATAACAAGAAGAAAGACAGAAACACAGGATAGCTTCGGGAAGACCTGGGACATATACCCAATGGCCTTTTCCATTTACTCAAAAGGTCTTTTTATAACAATGCCAAGGGGCGGGGTAAAAGACCTCCCCCTTGCTAGATCAAAGTACACCACACAGCCAAGTGCAGACCCTTCCAAACACCTGGTAACCACATCCGTGGTCAAATCATCCCCTTATGTAGCCCTACTGTAGCCTAGATTCTCAGACCCTGAGTAATTTGGGCCTCCACAGATCCCAAAGGATTTTCTCTTTCCTTCCTTCCTTCCTTCCTTCCTTCCTTCCTTCCTTCCTTCCTTCCTCCCTCCCTCCCTCCTCCCTCCCTTCCTTCCCTTCTTTCCCCCCATCATTCCTTCCTTCCTTCCTTCCTTCCTTTTTTTCCCTCAAGACAGAAGTTTCTCTGGTCCTGGCTGTCCTGGAACTTGTTCTATAGACCAGACTGGCCTAGAACTCAGAGATCTGCCTGTCTTTGCCTCCTGAGTGCTGGGATTAAAGATATGCACCACCACCCAGCTCCTGAGGGATCTTTAGAATGGCAGATGAGGTAGATAAGATGTTGATCAGAGTGATTCAGAATGCCTGTAATACCAGGGTCTCCCTTCTTTTCTCCTCTTGAGGAAACTGTGAGGTAGAACCTCCTGGGCTACTCCAGAGAAATAACACATAGACCATTTCAAGTTGCAGGAGTAATTCTGAGACAAGTGGTGTGACTCAGTGGTAGAACACCTGCCTAGACTCCCCAGTGAGGGGCTGGGGTGTGGCTCAGTGGTAGAGCACCTGCCTAGAATCCCCCAGTGAGGGGCTGGGGTGTGGCTCAGTGGTAGAGC